CCTCTTTCGCTCTCTCTGTCAAATAAATAAATAAAATCTTTAAAAAAAAAATTTTTTTTTTAAGATTACAGAGAAATCCTATGTATCTTTAACCCAGTCTCTCCCAATGGTAGCATTTTGCAAAACTAACTACAATATCAGAACCATGATATTAACATTAAGACAGACAAGATATAGAACATTTCCATCACCATAAGCATCCCTCATGCTGCCTTTTACAGCTACACTCTCTTCCCTCCCCTTACCATGCTCCCCCACCTTTGTCCCTAACCCCTGGCAATCACTAATCTGTTCTCCATTTCTGGAATTTTGTCATTCCCAGAATGCTATATAAATGGAATCATAGAGTATATAACTTCTGAGATTGGTTTTTTTCACTCAGCAAAATTCTGTGGATTCATCCAAGCTATTGACTGTATCAATAGTTCTTTCCTTTTTATTAATGGATAGTATTCCATGGTATGGATGTACCATAGCTTATTTAACCAGTAACGGACCTCTGGATTGCTTCCAGTTTGGGAGTATTATGATAAGGCTGCTATGAAGCATTCATGCACTGGTTTTTGTGTGACCGTAAGTTTTCATTTCACTGGAATAAATGCCCAAGAGTACAATTGTTGGAGCATGGTGAGAACTGCATGTTAGTTTCATTAAAAACTGTCATACTGGGGCGCCTGGGTGGCTCAGTCAGTTAACTGTCTGACTCTTGATTTCAGCTCAGGTCATGATCTCAGGGTGATGAGATCGAGCCCCGTGTCAGGCTGGGCCTAAAGTCTGCTTTGGATTCTCTCTCTCCCTCTCCCTCTGCTCCTTCCCCCACCCTTCTCATGCTCTTGTCTCTCTCTGTGAGAAAAGAAAAAGAAATTGCCATACTTTTTTCCAGAGCAGCTGGGCTATTTTACACTTCCACCAGCAATGCATGCATGATCCAGTTTCTCTTCTTGGCCAGCATTTGGTGTTATCACCATTTTTCATTTTAGCCATTCTGAGAGGTGTGTAGTGACAACTCATTATGGCTTAATTTGCATATCCCTAATGGATAATGATGTTGAGTATCTTTTCGTGTGCTTATTTACCATCTGGATATCCTCTTCAATTAAACATCCCTTCATATCTTTTGTCCATTTTTTTTAAGATTTATTTATTTATTTCAGAGAGAGAGAGAGCACATGTGAGTGAGTGGGAGGCAAGAGCAGAGGGAGAGGGAGAGAATCCCTAGCCAACCCAACACTGAGCACGGAGCCTGATGCAGGGCTCCAACCCATGACCCTGAGATCATGACCTGAGCCCAAATCAGGAGCCGGACCCTTAACCAACTGAGCCACCCAGGTGCCCCTCTTGCCCGTTTCCTAACTGAATTGTTTTTCAATTCAATTGTTAGAAATTGTTGAGTTTTGAGAGTTCTCGATATGTTCCGCATAGCAGGCCTTTGTCAGAGGTGGTTTGCAAGTATTTTCTCCAAGTCTGTAGCTTGTCTTTCCATCCTCTTCACAGAGTCTTTCACAGAACAAGTGTTTAATTTTGATGATGTCCAACTTATCCATTAATTTCGTTTTTCTTTATGGATCATGGTAGAAAGTCTAAGGGCTCTTCACTTGGCCATGGGTCCCAAAGATTTTTTTTCTCCTATATTTTTCTCTAAAAGTTTTAGTTTTACATTTAACATTTAATTTTTATTTCATTTTACATTTACATTTGGACTTAAGTCAAGGTTCTTTTTCTTGCCTGTAGATGTCCAAGTTCTCCAGCACCATTTGTGGAAAAGGCTTTCTTTTCCTCCACTGAGCTGTTTTTTCAGCCTTGTCAAAAATCAGCTGGGCATATTTGTGTGGCTCTATTTCTGGTTTCTCTAGCCTGCTCCATTGATCTATGTATCTATCTCTCTGCCGATACTACGCTATCTTGATTACTTTGGCTTTAATAATATCCTTAGTATCAGGTAAAGTGATTCTTCCCGCATTATTCTTCTTTTTCAAAATAGTTTATCTATTCCAGGGCCTTGCTTTTCTATATAAAATTTAGAATAAACCTGTCTGTTTACAAAACACTGTGCTGGGATTTTGATAGGAATTACATTAAATGTAGAAATCAAATTGGGGAGAGCTGTCATCTTTACTATGCGGAGTGTTCTAATCATAAACATAGTGAGTTTGAGCCCCACGTTGGGTATGGAGATTACCTGAAAGAACAAATAAAATCTTTAAAAAATATTTTATTTCTTTGGATTATAAATGTATTTTTAATTTTGGTTTCCCCATATTCATTGTTAGTACATAGAAATGTGATTGGGGCACCTGGGTGGCTCAGTTGGTTAAAGCGTTTAAGTCCTGATTCTGGCTTAGGTCATGATCTCAGAGTCATGAGATCGAGCCCTGCATGGGGCTCCGTGATGGGTGCGTGAAGCCTGCTTGTGATTCTCTCTCTCCCTCTCCCTCTTCTCCTCCCCCAGCTTGTGCTCACGCTCTCTAAATAAATAAATAAGAGAAGCTTTAGGGGCGTCTGGGTGGCTCAGTCGTTGAGCGTCTGCCTTCGGCTCAGGTCATGGTCCCGGGATCCTGGGATCGAGCCCCGAGTTGGGCTCCCTGCTCAGCGGGAAGCCTGCTTCTCCCTCTCACACTCCCCCTGCTTGTGTTCCCTCTCTCGCTGTGTTTCTCTCTGTCAAATAAATAAATAAAACCTAAAAAAAAAAAAAAACTAAGACCAAGAGTAACACATTTAAAAAAAAAAGAGAGAAGCTTTAAAAATGTGATTGATTTTTGTGTACTTGTATTCTGCAACCTTGATGAACTCACTTATTAATTCCAGTTTCTCTTAAATTTAGTAGATTTTTTTAAGATTCTCTACATAGACGGGCATGTCATCTGTAAATAAAAACACTCAAATCATTCTATCTGATTCATCTCGATGTTGGTGTCTATCTTTTCTCACTCATGTTATGATTTTCCTTATTCTTGGTATGACAAGTGATTTTTATAATATCCTTGATGTTTTAAATAATACTCTGGATCCTACTTCAGACAGTCCCCTGTTGAGATGTAGCATGAAAGCCAGTTTTCAGAGTCCTCTATGTTCACTGTTGTTACATCCAGGGCTTTTTTTAGGTGTAAAAGAGGGGACCAAGAAGGAATGGGGCTACTCCATCTTGGAGGAATCAGCTGATTTAATCTTTTTTAACAGACAAAAGATGCCCTCAAGGACATGACTTTGCATAAGACACGTTACCAACCTAAGCTTCAGTTTCTTCATTTGTAAAAAGGTGATGAGATCATCTCCCAGGTGTAAGGAATGAATGAAATGATGACCTCCTTCTATCCATCTATCCCAAGTGTATTTAAAGTTTTGTGTAGTGGGGCGCCTGGGTGGCTCAGATGGTTAAGTGTCTGCCTTCAGCTCAGGTCATGATCCCAGGGTCCTGGGATCGAGCCCCACATCGGGCTCCTGGCTCAGCGAGGAGCCTGCTTCTCCCTCTCCCTCTGCCTCTCTCCCTGCTCATGCTTTCTCCCTCCCTCTCTCAGTATCTCTGTGTCTCATATGAATAAATAAAATCTTTAAAAAAAAAAAAAAATTAAAGTTTTGTGTAGTAACAGTTTGAGGTTGGGACCGTGAACTCTACACAGATAGAAACCCAATCTGTCTCCTTCACCATGAGTCAAAAACATTCAGCGCATTGCTGGGCACATGGGTGTTCAGCAAATGGATGCTGCTGAATGAATGAATGAATGATGCCTCCACACACAAAATAAGTCCTGAGCAAGCGGTAGCTCTTTTCATCATTATAATTTACACAGATGATTTCACTGGCATAAAGGCAGGAATCCTTGCAGACTGGGGCTGTGACAAGTAACCTAGATGGGATTGCAAGAAGGGAAACCGGAACATCAACTCAGATCCATGTCTCTCCCCACTAATACATGGTTAAGACTGTGCATCCTGGAGGGGCACCTGGGTGGCTCAGTTGGCTGAGTGTCTGACTCTTGATTTTTGGCTCAGGTCATGGTCTCGGTGTTATGGGAATGAACCCTGCATCAGGCTCCATGCTGAGCGTGGAGCCTGCTTAAGATCCTCTCTCTCCCTCTTCCTTTGCCCCCGACACCCCTCATGCTCTCTCGCTCTCTCTCAAAAAAAATTAAAAATAAAATAAAAATAAAAAGATTGTGCATCCTGGAAGGGTGCCTGGGTGGCTCAATTGGTTAAGTGTTCAACTCCAGATTTCGGCCCAGATCATGATCTCAGGGTTGTGAGATGGAGCCCCCTGTCAACCTCCATGCTGGGTGTGGAACCCACTTAAGATTCTCTCTCGGGCGCCTGGGTGGCTCAGTCGGTTAAGCGACTGCCTTCGGCTCAGGTCATGATCCTGGAGTCCC